AGGTGATATTTCATTATGTTATTGATTTCCATTTCCCTAGTGATTACTTACTTCTGCTAAGCAACAACAAAAAAATCCAAGTCACTGGCAAGACCTTTGTTAAGGAGTTTATCCCCAAGTGTTTACTTTTTTTAAAGAGCTTACTGTTTCATTTATTTCCACTCTGATCTTTGTTATTTCCTTCATTCTATTAATTTCGGGCTTAGTTTCATTGTCTTCTAGCTCCTTACAGTATAAACTTAATTTGCTTATTTGAGGTTTTGCTCTTTTCTTAATGTAGGTGTTAATTACTATAATCACTGTAAATATTCCCCCTTTTGGTTTAGTCAATAAATTTTGATATGTTGTATCTTCATTTCCATTTGTCTCAAGGTTTTTAAAATCCTTCTTGAGTGTATTCTTTGACCCATTCAGTATTGTATTACTTAACCTCCACACAGCTGTAAATTTTCTAGTCCTCTTCTTGTAACTGACTTCTAATTCTACACTTCTGTGGTTGGAAAAGAAGCTTAATATGATTTTAATCTTAAATGTATTGACTTGATTTGTGGCCTACCACATTATCTATCCTAGAGAATGTTCCATGTATGCTTGAGAAGTATGTGTATTCAGCTGCTACTGTATGAAAGGTTCTCCATATGTCTGTTGGTGCTTCCCAGGTGGTGCAGTGGTAAAGAATCTGCCGCCAATGCAGGAGGCACAAGAGCTGAGGGTTCGGTCCCTGGATGGGGAAAATCCCTGGAGTAGGATACGGCCACTTGCTCCAGTATTCTTGCCCAGAAAATTCCATAGACAGAGAAGCCTGGTGGAATATAGTTCATGGGGTTGCAAAGAATCAGACAGGACTGACTGACTGAACACACACATAATGTCTGTTAAGTGCATCTCGTCTAACATACTGTTTCAAGTCCAGTTTTCCTTATTGATCTTCTGTTTGAATGATCTCTCCACTGTTGAATATGGGGTACTTAAATCTACTACTATTATTGTCATCAATTTTTATCTTCAGATTTGCTTTACTCATTTAGGTGCTCTAATAATATCAACAGATACATAAATATTTATAAATATTATCTCTCCTGATGACCTATTTTTATCATTATACAATGACCTTCCTTGTCTCTTGTTACAGTTTTTACTCAAAGTCATTTTTTTCTTATATTAAGTATAGCTACCCCAGCTTTCTTTTGATTTCCACTTGCATGAGGTATCTTTTTCTCCCCTTCATTTTCAGCCAATGTATGTCTTTAAAAGTGAAGTGAGTTTTGTTTCAGATCGGTCTGCTTTGTGTGTGTGTGTGTGTGTGTTTCTGAAATCCATTCAGCTACTCTACATGTTTGGAAAATTTAGTCATTTTACATTTAAAGTAATTATTGATTATTATGTATTTACTACTGTCCTTTTGTTAGCTGTTTCCTCGAAGTTTCATAATTCTTCATCTTTATTTTACTACATATAACATTTACCATTACAAGTGAGATTTATACTTTCACATGTTTTCCTATTACTAATTAGCACCTTTTCATTTCAGATTAAAGAAATTCCTTTAACCTTTCCTACAAGGCCAGTTTAGCGGTGATTAGTTTCTTTAGCTTTTGCTAGTCTGCAAAACTCTTTCCTTCAATTCTGAAGGACAACTTGCCAGGTGAAATCTTCTTGGTTGGCAGTTTTTTTTCTCAGGAATTTAAATAAATCCTGCCACTTCTCTCTGGTCTGCAAAGTTTCTGCTGAAGAAATCTGTTCATATTCTTATTGGGGTTCCCTTTTATGAACAAGTTATTTTTCTCTTGCTGCTTTTAAGATTTTTTCTTTGTCTTTGACACTAATTATAATGTACCTTGGTGTTGGGTCTCTTTGGATTTATTGTATTTGAAAATCTCTGGGCTTCTAGATCTGAATGTCTGTTTCTCTTCACAGGTTAGGAAAGTTTTCACCCATTATTTCTTCTTATAAGCTTTCTTCCCCTTTCACTCTTTCTTCTCCTAGGATCCCTATATAATGCAAATGTTGGTTTGCTTGATGTTATCTCATAAGTCCTAACCCTCAGGCAGTAGCTTTTAAAGTATGCACACAGGATTTTTTCAAGCAAAGACTGAGAGATGAGTTTCTCTTTGTTTCCTCCATGCTGAGCCTCAGCAAATCCTTGAAAACCCATTAATAACTCTTTGTTATACTCTGGTGGGTCTCATGAACAAAAAGCCCCACTGTCTTCCAGAGCTGGTGTTTTTGGGGTCCATACCTCAGATGGAAGTCTAAAAAAATGGGAGGTAAATGTTGGGTCCAAACTCTTGGCAGGTCAGGGGAGGAGCTTGGAGTTGCAAGTTCCTTCCCGATTGCATGTCTCTGTGCCAGGGATGGGGTTTATGGTGAGACTGCCTCTCAGCCTTTTTTACTCACTTCAGTGTGGGTATATTCTCATCAGCCTGATATACAGTTATTGCTCAGCTAGTTTCTGGACCTCTTTCAGCAGAAACTGCTCTGTGTGTAGCCGAGGATTCAGTTTGTCCACAGGAGTGGGTTGCCTGCCATCTTGAACTGGAATCCTGTTACACTGTCTTAATGTATTACCTGTCTGTGAGTTAATTCAAGGTGAAAGGGGTTGATAATAATGGAGGGAGGAAGAACAAAAATAATCAGTTTTATTAGATAATTCTAGGAAGTTGTATAGAGGATCCCTCAGGAATATGGAAATAAAAGAAAATATTGCATTCTCAGAACTAACTCATATTCAAAAGATCAACAGAGAAATGAAAGGTCCCTTGAAAGAGACAGTGAGGCTCTCAACTAGAGAACATTCTTTCTCATCAAAATGAACTGATCAAAATGGGAACTGAATTACCTCCCACTCGAATGCTATCTAGGACAGAAATGATTAGAATCACAGACATTTTAAGTTTCCTGTCTGCACTGACAACATGTTGCTGCTGCTGTTGTTTAGCTGCTCAGTTGTGTCTGACTCTTTGTGACCCTATGGACTACAATATGCCAGGCTTCCCTTTCCTTCACTATCTCCTGGAGTTTGCTAGACCTTATGTCCATTGAGTCAATGATGCCATCCAACAATCTCATCCTCTGTTGACCCCTTTTCCACCTGCCTTTAATCTTCCCCAGCATCAGGATCTTTTCCAATGAGTCAGCTCTTCACATCAGGTGGCCAAAGTACTGGAGCTTCAGCTTCAACATCCATATTCCAATGAATATTCAGGGTTGATTTCCTTCAGGATTGACTGGTTTGATCTTCTTGCTATCCAAGGGACTCTCAAGAGTCTTTTCCAACACTTCAGTTTGAAAGCACTCAGCCTTCTTTATGGTCCAATTCTCACATCTGTACATGACTACTGGAAAAACTATAGACTTGACTATACAGATAATTCTTAATTTAAAAAATAGTTGACCCTGAACAATGCAAGATTCAGAGATGCCGATTTCTCCGTGCAGTTGAAAATCCACATGTTACCTTCACAGTTGGTGTTCTGCATCCACATATTCAACCAACCATGGATTGAGTATATACTACAGTATATACAGTATATACTTACAGTAAGTATATACTTACTGAAAAAAAAATCCATGTATAAGTGGACCTGTGCAGTTTAAGCCCATGTTACTTAAGGGTCAATTACACAAACAATTGGCTGTGTTAATCTGGCAGGTATTAAATCTCTGACATGAAAAATTCCTTTGTTTGATTCCACAATCACAATGAATCTGATTTTGACATGGCTTCCCACAAAGATCTGACAATAAGGAGAAAGTGTGCTAATAATATAGATAACATATATTTTGTTCTATGTAAACTTTTAACATCACTGTAAATTAAAAACCAGCATACTAGTTTTAATACATTGCTCTAATGAACTTGGATAATGTGAGTCAGTACCATGAAAGTTGGTTTGTTTACTCTTGTAGAGAAAAATGAAATTTCTGCATCAAGAACATCCAGACCATGGCATTTAATTAAAATAGCAAAAATAACAAACGCTCCTTTGTGAGGCCACTTCAGAAAGCACAGCAAATAATGCAAATTGGCTCCCTCAACATCCTGCAAATTTTTACAGTTTCCTTCTCATACTATAGAGACTTAATTTGTGCACAACAAATTAACAAATAACAACAAAAAATTTTTTCTGATTCCTTTGCAGGGAGTTGGAGGGGGAGAATCTGTATGCAATCTGGCTTACACAAGGAAACAACCCATATGACACTTAAAGCAGAAGTCACCAACGTGACAGTGGCTACATGTGAGACAAAGGATTTTTTTTTTTAGTGCAATTATTATGAAGGTTATAGTGGTGGTTCAGACAGTACAGAATCTGCTCATGATGCTGGAGACCTGGGTTCAATCCCTGAATCAGGAAGATCCCCTGGAGAAGGAAATGGCAACTCACTCCAGTATTTTTTCCTGGAAAATGCTCCACAAAGGAGCAATACTTTCTCATAATCTCTTTTCTGAATAAATTAGAGGCAGTATTTAGTTATCTGAAACAGAGAGAACCCCAACTAATACTCTGAAAGATCAGTACTTTTAATTTCTATAGTTCTAGCCTAATAATTTCAGTACCATCATTTTGATAATATCACCACCAATAATAATGAGTTAACAGTTACTTCAGTGCTTAAAATATAATATCAGGCATTGTGATAAGTGATTTATAAACATTCTGATTAAATGCTCTATATTCTGTGAAAGCTACTTCAGGAGAAGGACTAAAAGGGACAAACCACAGCTTCACCATGAGCAGATACAAATCATCTTATCAACGAATTTGCAGATGTGCTATTCTTAGAAATATGCAGACTATGAATAATATTTTAAAGAACAATTAATCTTGCACAATTACTTTACCTTTTTGCTCTCTTCAACAATACAGTACCTCAGCCTTTTTAAAGGAGAGCACAGAACTCAAACTTGCAGTTCTAACAAAAACAAATATAGCATAATAAAAAGATTCCTAAAAAGGTGCCCTTTGGCTATGATTTGGCTAGAAAAGTTACTGCACCTGAAGATTGATCTCTGCTTCATAAAAGGTTAAGCACGAGCAGTAATGTCGATCTGAGTCAATATCTGTCAGGACCACCACAAAAAACGTTGGCTGCTTCCTCTCTCTGGACAGCTGCCATCCGCCAGGCTGACAAAACTAAATCAGATAGAAAAAAAAAAAAACTGTTACATCTTAAAAGTATAAGGTAAATTTATTATTTATAAATCTTTCAAGAATGTTCAAAGTTTTTTGATTTACAAAAAATTTTCAGATACATCTCTTCAGCCATTATTTTTAAAATCAATCACAGATTCATAACATTAGCATACTTTCACTAATGTGCACATGCGTTTTAAGAAGACAGCCTAGATTTTTCCAGAGATGCCACACATTCTGAGACCTAAGTTGGCATCCATAGGAACAGAGCACTGATATGAAAAGTTTTGTGTCATTAGAGCAAATCATGAGATAAGTTGAAGATAAAAGTACTCAGTATCTACCATGGATGGAAAATAGAATTATTTTAAAATATCATCATTAATCTAAGACTTCAATTCAGTACAATGAAAAATGGACTTTGTTTATTAAGACAGACCACATTCTGGGCTATAAAATACATTTTAATTTATTTAAAAGAATAGAGTTCATAGACAACAGTAAAATTAAACTAAAAGCCAATTACAGAAAAATAGCTGGAAAATCCCAAAATACTTGGAGATTAAACAAGACACTTCTAAGAATCTCAAAAGAAATTTTCAAATATTTTTAACTAAATGAAAATATAACAACATTTGTGGGATTCAGCAAAACCAGTGCTCAGAGAGAATTTTATAGCAGTGAATTCATATATTAGAAAAGAAGAAAATCTAAAATAAATAACCTAAGTTTTAGGAAACTAGGACAAGAAGAGCAAATTAAATCTGAAGTAAGCAGAGGAAAAGAAATAATAAAATTAGATCAGAAGTCAATGAAATCTATAATAGGAAATCAATAGAGAAAAGCAACAAGATCTTAAGCTAGTTCTTCAAAAAGAACACTAAAGTCAACAAGCTTCTAGCCAAACTAAAAATAAAATATACAGATTATTAACATAAAAAATGACACATTACTCTAGACATTAAAAAAAATAAAGGAATACTATGCATAAGTCTATGTCCACCAATTTGATAATCTAGATAAAATCAATCAGTCTCTTGAAAGACATAATCTGATAAAATTCACCAAGAAACAGACAATGTGAATAGACCTATATCTATTAAAGAATTTGAATCAACAATTAATAAATCTTCCAAAATAGAAAGTATCAGGTTCCAAAGGGTTCACTGGTGAATCTTACCAAATATTGAAGGACAAAATTAAAACATCCTCTATAATCTCTTCTGTAAGACTGAAGCACAAGAAATACTTCCTGACTCATTCCATAAAGCCAGCATTACCCTAATTCTAAAACCAGGAAAAAAAAAAACCAAAAACATTACAATAAAACTATATATCACTGAGCTTCCCTTGTAGCTCAGTTGGTAAGAATCTACATGCAATGCAGGAGACCCGGGTTCGATCCTGGGGTTGGAAAGATCCCCTGGAGTAGGAAACGGCAACCCACTCCAGTATTCTTGCCTAGACAATCCCATAGATAGAGGAGCCTGGCAGGCTACAGTCAATGGGGTCACAAGAGTCAGACATGACTTAGTGACTAAGCCACCACCACACATTTCTCATGAACACAGTTGCAAAAAGCTTCAACAAAATACCTGCAAATTAAAATACCAACATATAAAAAGAATTATATATCATGACAAAATAAGATTCATTTTGGGTATGCAGAGCTGGTTCAACATTTGAAAATCAATTAATCACATGAAGAAGCTAAACAAGAAAAAGTGCATGATCGTATCAGTAAATGCAAAAAAGGAATTTGAGAAAATCAAATACCAATTCATGATAGAAACTCTCAGCAAAGTAAGATAGAGGGGAAGTTCCTTAACTTGATAGAGAACATTTACAAAACACCTACAGCTAACAATATACTTAATGTTAAGAAACTAGATGCTTTCTAGCTGAGATTAGGAACAAGGATGTCACTTCTTACCACTCCTTTTCTAAATTATACTGAAAGTCCAAGCTAATACAATGAGTCAAAAAAAAAAAAAAAAAAAGGAAATAAAAGGTTTACAGATGGAGAAGGAAATGGCAACCCACTCCAGTACTCTTGCCTGGAAAATTCCACGGATGGAGGAGACTGGTAGGCTACAGTCCATGGGGTTGCAAAGAGTCGGACACAACTGAGCAACTTTGCTTTCAGTAGTATTTTATTTGTAATACTATGTGTTGTTTATTGGTCAAGTTTTGCCTATTAAAATGAAGAAAGTCTACAAAAAAAAGGTTTACAGATTAAGAATGAATAAGTATAACTGTCTTTTTACTCCCAAATGACATGACTGTCTCTGCAGAAAACCTCAAAGTAATAAGCAATTACAGCAAGGTTCCAGGATACAAGGTTAATAAAACAAAATCAAGTCTCCTATATATACCAACAATGATCAAGTGTCACTTGATATTAAAAACACAATACCATCTTCATATATTAGCACCCCCAAAATGAAATACTTGGGTATAAACCTAATAAACTATGTATAATATCCATATAAAAATTATAAAACACTGACAAAGGAAATCAAAGAAAGAGGAGTGATTCCAATGTTCATCAATAGGAAGACACAATATCATCAAGTTTCAATTCTTCCCAGCTCGATTTATAGATTCAATGCAATCCCCGCCAAAATCCCAGCAAGTTATTTATGGATATTGACAAACTAATGTTAAAGTTGACGTGGAGGGGCAAAAGACCTAGAGTAGCCAACTCAAAATGGAAGGAGAACAAAGTTGGAAGAGTGACACTATCTGACTTCAAGACTTACAATATAGCTACAGTAATCAGGATAGTGTAGTACTGGTGAATGAAGATATAAATAGATCAGTTAAGAAGAACAGTGAGCCAAATGCAACACAGTGGAGAAAAGACAGTGTTTTCACAAATGGTGCTGGACCAACAAAATATTCATATACAAGAAGGTAAATCTAGACACAGACCTTGCACCCGTCACAAAAATAAACTCAAAGTAGACCATACATCTAACTGTAAAATACAAAACTATAAAATATCTAGAGGATGACATAGGAGAAAACCAAGATGATATTTGTTTCAGCAATGACTTTTTTGACACAACTCCAAAATTATAAACCAGGAAAGAAAGAATCAATAAGTCAGACTTCATTAAAATTCAAAACTTCTGCTCTGTGAAAGACACTGTCGAGAAAATGAGAAGATAAAATAAGGACTGGGAGAAAATATTTGCAAAACACATATCTGGTAATGTATTATCATCCAAAATATAAGAAAGAGCTTTTAAAACTAAAATATAAGAAACTGAACAATTAAGAATGCAAAATATCTGAATAAGATGGTCATTGCTCAGTTGCTAAGCCATGTTCAACTCTTTGCGACCCCATGGATTGTAGCATGCCAGGCTCCTCTGACCTCCACTATCTCCTGGAGTTTGCTCAAATTCATGTCTACTGAGTCAATGATGCCATCTAATCAATCTAATCCTCTGCTGCCCCCTTCTCCTATAGCCTTCGGTCTTTCCTAGCATTGGGGTCTTTTCCAGTGAGTCAGCTCTTTGTAGCAAGTGCCCAAACTACTGGAGCTTCAGCAATGGTCCTTCCAATGAATATTCACGGTTGATTTCCTCTAAGATTCACTGATTTGATCTCCTTGCAGTACAAGGGACTCTCAAGAATCTTCAAAAACACCACAGTTCAATAGCATCAATTCTTCATTACTCAGCTTTCTTTATGATCCAACTGTCACATCTGTACATAACAGGTGGAAAAACCATAGCTTTGACTACATAGACCTTTGTTGGCAAAGTGATGTATCTGCTTTTTAATATGCTGTCTAGGTTTCTCATAGATTTCCTTCCAAAGAGAAAGCATCCTTCAATTTCATGGCTGCAGTCACCATCTGCAGTGATTTTGCAGTCCAAGAAAATAAAATTTTTTTTCTTTCTTTTTTTTTTATTATTAGTTGGAGGCTAATTACTTCACAATATTGTATTGGGTTTTGTCATACACTGACAAGAATCAGCCATGGTTTTACATGTATTCCCCATCCCGATCCCCCCTCCCACCTTCCTCTCGACCCGATCCCTCTGGGTCTTCCCAGTGCATTAGGTCCGAGTACTTGTCTCATGCATCCAACCTGGGCTGGTGATCTGTTTCACCCTAGATAATATACATGTTTCGATGCTGTTCTCTTGAAACATCCCACCCTCGCCTTCTCCCACAGAGTCCACAAGTCTGTTCTATACATTTGTGTCTCTTTTTCTGTTTTGCATATAGGGTTATCATTACCATCTTTCTAAATTCCATATATATGTGTTAGTATACTGTAATGTTCTTTATCTTTCTGGCTTACTTCACTCTGTATAATGGGCTCCAGTTTCATCCATCTCATTAGAACTGATTCCAATGAATTCTTTTTAACAGCTGAGTAATATTCCATGGTGTATATGTACCACAGCTTCCTTATCCATTCGTCTGCTGATGGACATCTCGGTTGCTTCCATGTCCTGGCTATTATAAACAGTGCTGCGATGAACATTGGGGTGCACGTGTCTCTTTCAGATCTGGTTTCCTCGGTGTGTATGCCCAGAAGTGGGATTGCTGGGTCATATGGCGGTTCTATTTCCAGTTTTTTAAGAAATCTCCACACTGTTTTCCATAGCGGCTGTACTAGTTTGCATTCCCACCAACAGTGCAAGAGGGTTCCCTTTTCTCCACACCCTCTCCAGCATTTATTGCTTGTAGACTTTTGGATAGCAGCCATCCTGACTGGAGTGTAATGGTACCTCATTGTGGTTTTGATTTGCATTTCTCTGATAATGAGTGATGTTGAGCATCTTTTCATGTGTTTTTGAGCCATCTGTATGTCTTCCTTGGAGAAATGTCTGTTTAGTTCTTTGGCCCATTTTTTGATTGGGTCATTTATTTTTCTGGAGTTGAGCTGGAGGAGTTGCTTGTATATTTTTGAGATTAATCCCTTGTCTGTTGCTTCATTTGCTATTATTTTCTCCCAATCTGAGGGCTGTCTTTTC